CGATAAGGCTTTTGTTTGGGTAAGCGCTGTCGACCAAACCCCCGCGGTGAGTGTACCCTCAAAGCAAACGAATTCGTGCCTCCTGTTGACAAAATCCTTCATTATACAAGGGCCCTAAACTATGGCAATTAAGGTATATTCCTTATTATGGATAATGCAGGACTTTGTCCATCAACAGTACGAGTACACTCTGTTACGGAAACTTTGTGTCGGAAACCTTCGGGCATGCCAGTGTAACAGAAACCAAGGTGGCACGCAACGGAAACTACTTCGGGCGGCATTACAGAAAAGGGGCTCGGGACGTAACAGCTCTTGTCGGTCTCCCATGGCGTTCTTCCTGGTTTTTGTTACACCTGCATTCGGTTTCTAGGCATTTTGTTGCAGTTTCCGCTACAGTTTCTCCTGGTTTCTGTTACTTTTGCTGGTCTGGTTTCCGTTACACTCTCTTTTTTGGTTTCCGTTACAGCCCCTACCCGAGCGCTACCAAATCCCATCCCAAGGCCGCCCGAAACCTTTTGCAACTCGGCAGCCCCGAGAAGAAATGGGCTGTTTTGCTGCAGTTTGTGGCTCCCGGTTCCATGGCTTACTCAGAGAGGCAAGCCTTTGGGCACACACGAGCACTCCAGGTCCATTTTAAAATCTGCAATCAAAAGTGTCGAGTTTAGGGATAGTTGTTCAGAACGTTCATACTGAAAGTATTCGGCGACAGTACTGTCGTACTGAGATTAAGGAACTTGTACACAGATAAGTTAAGCACTTACCCGTAAATGGCTGTAAGTATGCTTATAATATTCGCTTACCTCAAGGTAAGACTTCGAATGTCATTTGTTACATTATTCCTGTACAGGTGTAGCACGCTCCTGCAGGTGATAGGGCATGAGCTGAGAATTCATGCTTATGCTTCAGAGTTTAAGTTCGCGAAAGCCGGATGTTGCGTTTGCCACCGAGGAAAGGCGCGGCCCAAGGCTGCAGAGACATACACCAGACGAACATCCCCAACGACATCGCCGAAAACCCCGAGCTCATTACCGACGAGATGATCGAATACATAAACTCCAACGAGCCGCATCGTAGGAGTGTCCAAGCTACCATGGATCTGAGCGAGGAGGAGGAGCCTCTGAACGACGAGGAGGGGGGGGGGGAGCCTCAGCCTTCAGTCCGGCTCTGCCCCAGCGGCTTGGAACAAGTCCTGAAAGCCGGCCTCCACATCACCGCGGCTTACCCGTACACGGGCGGTTCCCATTGCGACAATATTCCCGGTGGGTTTTGCAACCTCTACCGAGAGGTTGTGCGACGTCTGGCAGTTATACGGGAGTGCCTAGGCGGCTGGACATTGGCACACTTCGCGGCTCGTGACCACAGCACCTACCTTGAATATCTGAAGAAAGAGGGTGCGGATCTGAATGCTAAGAGTGATAAGGGCCAGACACCTGCCCATGTGGCGGCAGAATACGGCAAGGAGGCTGGTTCTGCGGTTTGGGAAGAGCGAGGGCTTGCAGGCAAAGGTCGTAGTAGCCAGGTGCGGGAGATTTAAAGTTACGGGCGGAGGCTTGAGGATTCAGTGGGTGTTGGGCTTTAGGACTTCGGCTTGGGTGCTTGTTTTAAGTCTACTTGGGATTCCCCAACTCTTCCAGGACAGTCTGGCCATCCTTGGACAGCTGGGAGCCCGTGCCGGCCCCAGCGTCTTGTTGGAGAAGCGTGTGCATTGCTGGGTGCAAGCGTTCATGCCCTGTAAGCTCCTTGTTTCGGTTTTCACGTCTTCGGGCCTGGAGTCTGTTTTGGAGATTGGGATTATGACAAATTATGACCTTGTAAAGTTCCTGGCTTCGGTGTGAGGCTTTGGGTTTGGGTTTGGAGTTCTCGCGGTTGGGCCTTCGGTCACAGTGTTGAGAGGTTCAAACGTGCAGGAGCTGTTGACTCAGCCCTCCTTGCTGCATTTATGTGCTAAGTGCACATCCATGACCCCGCGCCAGGCCTCGATGCGCAAGATTACGAAGGATACACGCCGGCTCACCTTGTTTGCATATATGCCTCGGTCATTGCAGACGGACGCACAGGGGTGGGGCATCAAGTCTCTGCAGTTCTGAGCAGATTGGAAACGCAGGGAGCCCGTCTTTCTGTCAAGGATGAGCGAGGGCGCACTCCTGCCCACTACTGCGCAGATCCAGCCCGTGAAGATAGAAGACAGGGTCTTGCATTTTTACTGTCGCGGGGGATGGAGGAGAAGCATGACATGGGAAGGAGCCTTCTCCTTGCCAAAGACAAGCATGGTTTTACCCCAAAAGAGGTGGCAAAATCTTGTGACGCAGATTCTGGCAGGAACTATGATGCGGCAGAGTCGAGTGGAACTTACAGCGCTGTAGCTAATCAATGGCTTAGAAAAGCGCACCGGCAAGTGGCAAAGCTTTTCCCATTGGACTCAGACTCAGGACTTATAAGGGTACCGAGAGGCTACCTTGTTCAGGCTAGACACAACTACCCAGAAGATGATCAATTGATGGCCTTGCGAAACAACCACCCAGAAGATGTTGAAAAGGAAGCGTTGCGCTGCCCAAACCCACACGCTTGCCCAGCGCAAAACATCAGCATAATGGACAGATATTCTGTCGGTGTTTGTGCGGCAGCGTATACAGGCACTGCCTGTGCACAATGTGCCCCGGAGTTTGGTCGCAGCACTGGGGATCCATTCGTTTGCCAGAAATGCGGGAGGTTCTGGCTTCAGTGGGTCACCTTCCTGGGAAAGCAAACGGGGATATACGTTTTTACGTTGTTCACGGCTGGCACGGCTCAGAAGGGCCGAAACCGACAGAGCGTGCTCCTGAAGATCGCTTTGTCCTTCGGGACAGTTGTGGCCTCCGTGTCTGGAGCGGTGCGATCCACGGACACCGTGACAGAAGTCATGCCCGTGACTGAATCTGAAGGCACCGCGCCTAGCAAGCCCTCAGCGATGAGTTCGCACGGTAGGTAGGCAGGTGGTAGCTCGCGTTGACTTGTCCTCTCCTTCGGAGGTTCGGATGTCGACGATTCCTAGTTCTCCATGTCCTTGGCCTCCCTGTGGAGTCCTAGCCTGGATTGCCTCTTGAACTCAGGGGCTTTGTCCATCCACGACTGGCTCTTACTCACAGCCGCCGCGCCCGTTGCCCTTTGGTGCTTCACCGCCATCTGCATTGCCGCGAAGGCCGCGTGTACCCAGACCTTTAAAGCGGAGGTCTTGAAGGAGGGATTGATCCAGCCGAGCATTGTGGTGGTCACATGCTTCTTGCCGGGCATCATGGGGTCCGCTGCGCGCTTCGTGCCCTGCGTCCACTTCATGTCCGACAAATTCCTGGAAAAGGTTCCGCGGTACGTGAGTTGTGCCCTAGGCACCCCTTGCACAGACGTCCGGATCATGAGGTATGTCCTGTTGGTGGCGTTCTCGGCCATGGGAGCCGTGGTGGGGCCATTTTTCTGGAGAACCGTGATTTCCAGATCAAAGGAATGGCCTGAGGACTCGGCGGATTGCACCCCAAGCCTAAACCCTAGATCCAAAGCAGGGTTTTGTTGGGTTGCTCATGCTCACTGAGTGAAGGGCCTGAAGGGTGGATGGTGTTGGAGTGTAGGGTTGAGGCGGTACGGTTTAGGGAGAGGGGTTTGGAGTTAGAGTGCAGGATTTCGGGATCAGGGGCTTCCAGTAGTGTGCAGGCCTTGGGATGTCCCTGCGTTGCAGACACAAAAGAGTTACTTAGAGGATCATGGAACTTAGTAAGTAGGATTATAAGTAAGGTAACTATACTTATAATCAGCTGTAAAGCCCCAATTAGGGTTTAACCCCCTAAGCCCCAAGCCCTAAACCACAACCTAATATCCTGGGTAAGAACAATGTTTCCATTTACTGGCTGCTCCTAATTCATAAGCGAGCCCTGTTGTCTGAGTGACCATCTGTTGGGGGTTTAGGGTTCTGGGTTTGGGTTTAGGGTTTAGGGTTTCCCAAATGCCCCCGAGGACGCCCGCAAAGAAACGCTGGGCTTCCTGGTGGCTGGATACCGAAAGGACAGGCGCCGGCGCCTGACCCTCCACCCTTAACCCCAAACCCCAAACTTACGCACTAAGCCCTGAGCATAAAACCATAAATCCTTAGCCCTAAATCCTAAACTCTACACCCAGAATCCCAAGAGGCAGCAGTTGACACCCGAACCTTATCATCCCACCTTTAAGCCATGAACCCTACACCCTACACACAGAACCTCAGACCCTAAATGCAAAAACACGAAAGCGTGAATCCTAATCCCTTGCCCAAAGCCCTGAGCTATAAGCTATTCCCCAAACTCTAAAGCCTAAACAGTCGGCGCCGAAACCTCAAAACGTTAAGACGCAAAAGCAGAAAAAAACGACAAGGCAACATCCAAAAGCTTAGGATCATTTTTGTAGACCTGGCGAGTTTAGGGCGGGAGAGGTTCAGGATTTACAGCACGTCTTAACCCTCAACCCTAAACCTGAAGGGGTTTAGGTGTTCAGGCCTTTGAGTTCAAGATGAGGGATTTCGGATGTCAGGCTTGGTGTCGATACGTTTTGAATTTGCATTGGCGCACTTCGAGTATAGGAGAAAAGGGGGAAGGCGGAAGCCAGAAGTGGCTCGGAGCATTCAAGGCCTGAAGATAGCGGTTAGCTAGGGGTTACGGCGAGTCATGTTACGGTTTGGGGTTGTCAGGTTTGCAGCGTTTGAAATCTTACCAGGCTCTGTGCCAGGGACTGCAGGTTGGATTTTCCGATTGAAAGTTCCAGGGCTTGGTATGTAGACTCACAGATCTGGTTCCGGACAAGCGCAGCCTTCATGATATTCATTCGCGATTGCCTCAAATCTCCTCCAGGCCGAAAAAATGCTTGCACCCTCAGCCCCAAACTCTGGAAGCCTGTGTGTTTTGGCATAAACCCTAAACCCAACTCCCTAGCTTGGTTCCTTACATTCACAGGATTTGGACTGGTGGGAGGCCGTGGTGCTGACTCGCAAGTGTGCGCTGGTGATGGCTGGCTCCATGTTCCCTGTAGCTGGACCCTGGAAGGTCAAGGGTTAGACACAGGGTTCGGTTCGTTTTGTGTGGTCTAGAACTTAAAGCCTAGAGAACACCATGAGCCGCGCACAAGGCAAGCTATTCACCTTTTTTGTTCTTGACTTTCGAGCTTATCATCATCGGTGCGAGCCTCACTCTCCACTCATACGCGAAGCCCTACGACGATGCTAGCCTCAATGCCATGGAACTTGGCACATTGTTCGCATCCGCGACAGCAATCCTCAGTGCCGTGGTATTAACCCTGCAGCCAATCGATTGGACGCTGGACAGCAGCATCAACAAACCCACCCTCGCCGTGTTTACAGGATCCATCGCGGTCCCAGCAGCTGTGTTGATGCTGCTCCTGGCACAAGAGGTGATCTTGGGATTCCTCGGCTCCTCTACAGCCGAAAGTGCTTCCAGCACGGTCGAAGAGAGCACCGTCAAAGACGTCGGCGTACAGACAGCCGGAACGTGACCTTCGTGTGTAGCCGCCGTAGCCTCACCTAGCTTCCGATCTGTGAACCGTTCATGTGGCGAAAAAAAGCATCTGCTTTGATGCGGCCCCTCTTGCATGACACGCCGTGCCCAATGTGAGCGGCTTAATATAGGGGCCTCAATAATTAGTTTTTTTTTTTTTTTTTTTNNGTGATTATAGTAACAACATAACGGAACCAAAAGGGAATACTATTAGTAATTATTCCGACCCCTACATGAGCTTACCAACTGCAGCCAATGCAGGGTATCATCAGGACTTCGCTCGGTAGAGTAGGTAGCATCGAGGCCGACACCCTGCAGTCCACAGTCTCGACTTCCGGTCACTGCGAGTTCTTTCTGTACCAACTAGTTCCATACGTGGAGGCTCATGGGACTTAGTAGGGTTTTGTGCTTGTCTGTTTTTGTTCTGTGATTGGCAAGTCAGGTCCAACTAAGGGACATTGCCCAAAACTCGTGCTGAATTCCAAAGAAAACGGTTAAACAGGTTCGGCGGCAGTGGGAGGCACAAGAAGTCTTGGAGTTTTGGGTTCATTTGCAGTGGAGCTGTGGTATTACAGCGTCTAGGTATACCCTTGCGATATGTGAGATATTTCCACCTTTAAAAACATACAGATAAACGCATATATAGTAAATAAACGCATGCGTTGATAAACGCATACATACGTACATAAGTACATACATACGTAGATACATGCATACAGACGTACATAAACGCATACATGCATACGTACAGCAATTACATGCATACGTACAACAAATTCGTGCACACGTACATGTGTACATAATACATATATACATACATACATACATACATGCATGCATACATACATACATACATACATACGTATACATAGCTCGTGGCCAAACCGGCTTTATGGAGTTCTTGCAAGGCAACCTTTGAGGCTGGTTTATGACATGCATAATCTTTGTAATTCGTGACAGAGAGAGTTCATGTGCCAATAAGATGGGGAGGACTTTCCCAAGAGAAGGTTATCGTTTTTGCTTCCTCCGAGGGAATGTGCATTGATAATGCTGGCAGTGGTACATTTTGTAAGGATTGAGATCTTGAGGCCTGGGGGCTCATTAAAGCTAAACGCTTGGTTTCGGCGGTTGGCTGGCAGATTCTCATGAGAGTTGTTTCCAGTCGGCGTGCTGGCTCACGTCCTTTGCCGTTTGGCAGCTGTTCATGCATTGCTATGCCTGCTATTCCCATTTAATGGACAGTGTCGTGATACAGCATCGTGCAGTGATGCCAACTCCGGCGTAGCAGATGATTGCCAGGCCAAGACAATCTATTGCAGCATGACGGATCACTTCATTTTGGATAGCCCCTGCTCGTGCGACGAACTTGCCACTGTGTGCAGACCCGGCCGGCGTAGTTTCCCCGAACGCATGGGTTCGCAGCCACCAGATGTGCCTCAGCAGCAGACTTTCACAAACTGCCGGGCTGGTCTTCCCAAGTGTGCAGATTCTAGGTCGTATCTGAAGCAAAAGTGCCGGCTTTGAACACTTTGGCATCGCATCGGGTCTTGTCAGGTTTTCTGGACATTGTCACCAATTGTTCGGGCCTGAAGTCGGCGGCCAGAGAGGTAGAAGTCAGAGCTGAATCGACATCTCTTGTGCTGAGGGACAGGTGTTGATGGTGCTTGCAGTTTTATGGCTGCTTTCGACCAGGCGCACCATGCTTGTAGATTGCGCTTGTGGATGGATGGTTCTGGGTTCTGGGGACTCGGGAACGGAGGTGGAACCAGGAGAGGGGAATTCTCAGGACAGACGGCATGTCGGAGTCTGCTAATAGGCCGGTCGGGCGAAACAGGCCTTTCGGCATTTTGGGGTTTAGGTTTTCCAAGGCTTAACAATCCTAAGCTCCTGAAGGAGACTTGGTTTCTCAATGCCATGTCCATCCTGCCTTGTGATGCAGGTCTTGGCGGCTGATGCTCCTACTGCTGGCAATGCAGTCTCTTAGCTGAGCTTTTCAACCATGCACTAGACCCAAATTTCGAAGCAGAGGTTCGGCCCCGTTTGTCTGCAGGTTTTCGGCTCACATGAACACCGGCTACAACGGCTCCCTGCCGAAAGCAATTTGTACCGGTCCCTGCTCTTGATGCTGCTCTCCTCCTGAGGTCCTCCTGCCGAGCGTCCACACATGCCAGCAAACCCTGACATTAGCACAGCCGTGGATACTTCTCTGAGAACCGTTTGACCGTCTGAGCGACCATGTGTCTGTGGCGAAACGATCGCACCGTTGCAGTGTCGAGGGTCACCGCAGGTTAGCAGCTAGCTTGATGGTCCGCCGAATTCCGTGCTAGCCTCTGCCCGTGGCAGCTGTTGTACGCCCCAGATGCGAGAGGTCACTGCAAAACCCTACGGGGCTCGGTTTCAAGACTGGTATGAAATCGTCTGAACTCTAAACACCCTGCTTCAATTTCAGAGAACGGGCATTTCGTTGGCCAGCAATCGGACGTGTACAGCAACCACTGCCCCTACTCATTGCGACATCGTTGGTCAGTGCCATGGAAGTTGGTGCTGCAGTCGCTGCCGGATGGACTGAAGAGGTTTGAGCAGGGATGTTGCACTGAGTTGTCAATGCTTTGTATGTATGTGTTGCGCAGTCCCGGTGCCAAGTCTTGCCCTTCAGGAGCAACCGGTGAGGTACCTACAGCTGTCTCCAGTTTCTCGGCTTTTGAGAGGCGCTTCAACATCAATGCGGAATGTTGTCAAGACCTGACAGGATGGCTATCCGGAGAGCCTGGTTGCAGTACCGGCTGCCCCACAAGACCTGCCGCCTGCGCCCCCGCGGGCACAGGCAGGGAGAGGCAACATGCTGCCACACCGGAGCTTTGGAGACTTCGGCCGGAGGCCAACCTGGCAGGGTCGGAAACCGTCCTCCAGGACTGCCGGATCCGGTCGGCCTGAGTTCAGCTGAGACGCTCGGGCTCGAGGAGCGATCCCCGTGGGAGCAGATCCTGGAAGCACAGGTATTCCAAGGAGACCTTGCAGGCAGGGGCACAACACCTGGATTTTGGAAGATCGGCTTGAAGATGACATTTGTTCGAGGCACTGGCACTATTCCACCGCTGCTGCACACACAACAGATGGCTGTGGAAATGCCTCCTATGAGGACCGGGGGATGCCTCCTTCGCTCCTTCGCTCCGTCTCCCCTCCTTTGCTGAGGACGCCGATCATGGCGGCCATCGGGCCGGTTCCCTCGGGCCGCGTGGAGCTTCTGTCAGCCAACCTTGGTCCGGCTAACGCCGCCACGAGCATGAAAAATCCCAGTGCGGCTCAGCTTTGTGAGCTTTCTCTGTGTGTGCGTGTGTGTGTGTGTGTGTGTAACACTTGTGGCACCTTGTTTGGCAAGTCCTGATGCTTGCTGTGAGGACGCGTTCCAGTCGTGGCTAGTGGACTTGGAGAGATTTCACGAAGAGAGGTTGCTTCAGGCAAGCTTGACAATGTCAGCAGCCATCGGCGTGCAAGTGTGGTGGTTTCTCATTCTCTTCCCTCTCTTCGTCTGCTCTTTTGCTCTATCTCTCCCTCCCCAGCTGGTGTGCCAAGTAGATAGGTAGATGTGACGGAGGACAGCCTCTGAAGTCGGCAAGGGTGGTCAAGTCTGGGGGTTGCTCAGACCCTGTGGGGTTCGACTTGGGCTGCAGCCTGTGCTGCCCGTGAGTGGAAAACCCTCCAGATGCTAAGTGGCAGATGCGTGATGCTTGTGGTGACTTGCACAAGGCGGATTCCAGCGTGACTTCTTTACTTCTGGGTAGTGTGAAGGCCGAGGTTTCCACTCGAGACTCCTTGTGTTCTTCTTGCACCAAACTCCTCGACCCATCGTTGAAGCTTTGCCATCTCGTTCAGGTTTGCCAAGTCTGCGACGTAATGAGCAGTTGGAACATATTACATACAACTTCTTTAACACCCTTTCCGCCGGTTCGGGTTTAGAGGCCCGGCTCTTGCCATTTGCATCTAGGGGGAATGCCATCCCCCAACTTGGTTGAACAAGATAATGATTAAGTCAGTGGAGATTCCCAAACAGCGAAAGACAGCGCCAGACGCCCAGAAGCGCACCAGGCTGGTGGCTCTCAATGCTTGGGAAAATACAGGATGCAACCAGTTGCCATCCTGGTCGTTCCAGCATTTGCACTCAATTCAGGAAGCGCAACGCATGGGTGAAACCTTTGCCTCGAAGCGACCAGCACAGCTCCAGGAGCTTTCGCGAGGCATGTCGAAATGAGCAGGTTGGAAGCCCCAGAGCTCCAGGAGCCTTTTGCGGAGGCCAGGACACTCCCAGATCAGAAGACCAGCAGAAGCCACGGCCGTGCGACAAGGACGACAGTGACCAGGAGACCCCTACGACGCTAAGAGGCAACGAAGCGACCAGCAAGAGACCACCACGGCAACAGGAGACCAGCAGGAGACCACCAAAATACCAGCAGGACACCAGGAGACCACCATCAGACCACCAGGACATCACCAGGAAACATTGAGAGACCACCAGGCGATTAGTAAGAGCAGGAAGCAACAGACCACCACGAAACCAGGAGACCACCAAGAGACCAGCACGAGACAGCGAAGAGACCCGGAGACCACCACACAAGGAGCCGCCACGACATCAACAGACCAGAACAAGATCACCAAGCTACCACCAGAAGACCACCAGAAGTTCACCGGAGATCGTCAGGACACCACCCAGAGAATGCCAGCCAGCGGTTTTTTAGAAAGACGAGCCAGGACGCACTGCGACCAGGAGGAGACCACTGGGAGACCACTAGGTCGCCAAAGAGACCACAAGGTGACGAGCAAGAGAACACAACCACACCAGGAGCATCAATAGACCACCAAAAGATCACCAGAAGACCACCAAGAGACCATCAAGAGATTTGCCAGGAGATCACCAGCACCAGCAGAAGGCCACCAGGAGACCAGCAGAAGAGCACCAGGACATGTACCAACTCCAAGTACTGAAGCATCGATCACGGCCGGAATGCCTTCCTTCAAGGACGGGGGAATTCAGCAGCATTCCTGAGCACGGGAAATCGTGTCCCCCCAAGTAGTGCTCCGATGCAGTGTTCTCGAGAGCAAGAGTGGTCCGCGTCGTAGTGTTCATGCCGAATCCCGCCCCGTGCGCCCCAAACGAATGGTCTGCAACAACTGGGACCACCGCATTTATCTCTTTGCTCTTACCGCAAGAACCCCAATAACGGTAGCACACTGATTGGTTAATAACTGTTGTCATTTTCAACGTCTCATGACGAGCATCACAGTCATTGCATGATCAGTGTCCAGTACAACACCCTTGCCTTCGCTGCAGTCAGTACATTCATACAAGTATTCCTGTCGCATGGTTGTCATCTGGCACGACATTCCTTATCAACATGGCTTCGGTCACCATGATCATTATCACCCTGAGGAGTACCATGTCTCTCACGATTGTGTGAGACTAGATAGTATCGCTGTTATCAACATCACCACGTGTGCTAGTTTTATTGCCAATATCAATACACATCTCATTCGCATCCGGGTTGCTCTCTTACTTATGGTTGTGCTTCTTGAACTACAATGAGATGTTGTCTTCATCGCTCATGTCTGATCACCAGACTTGTCCAATAAACTGTACTGCCAAATCCTTGCCGCTTGGGCCACAAGTCGGATCAAGTCACCTCGCCGTCACAAGTAGGCCCAGAAGACAAGCTGCACGGGCCGCAGGCTACACGAAAATCTTATCAAACAGAGCTTGTCATTCGGTTCAAATCGGCGCATGCCAGCCGGCTTGTACAGCATCGCTCCAAGCGACATGAGGCTTTGTCGGTAGCATCCAATGTACCAAGACGTTCGCTTGCCATCGATTCTTATAGGCATGACTTCAATAGGGCAGCAAGCAAGCAACCGAGCGAGCAAGCGAGCGAGCTGGCAAGCCAGCAAGCGAGCGAGCGGGAGAGAGAGAGAGAGAGTCAGTTCGTAATAGGGGGCGAGTCTGCACCACAGAGCCGGTGCGCACCCCAGCAGATGAGGCCTGGCGGTTGATTAGTGTTCCTACAAGGGGTGTCACAGTTGTGGAAACGGGGGCCTCATCTGCCTTAGCGAACAGACCAACCGAACCAGCAGGGCGCGCACGCGCGCGGGAGGGGGTTCCGCCTTCTCCTTGACTGTGTTGAAGAAGAGAGCTGCAAAGACACAGGACGTTGGCGTAGCGCCTGCGCGCAGGGGTTGTGGGGAGCCCCCGACGCCCCAAACGCCCAGCAAGCCAGCAAGCAAGAGAGAGATGCCCGGTGGAAGAAGAGAGAAAGACGAGACTTGAAAGTTTCGGTGCAGGAAGCTCAACGACGCTTCTGCAGCTGTGGGCCCCACGCCTCTCTCAACGACTTCAAAAAGTGGCTTTGTGCAGCATCGCACTTCGCAGACGAGGATGCCTCGGTGTCAATTTTCTGAATCTGAGTCTTGGGTCGAGAGTGTTTAGCTGACTTACTGTCACACTCCGCCAGGCTATCGTCCGCGAAATGCGAAAGTCACAGCTTTGCACCTGGTTGCTGTGTGTGCGACGCCTTTCCCAGCATCGACCCGGGTTTTCGGAGATGAGCAGCGTGCTGACAACGAGCCTCCCCCCGGAAGTGAAGCTTCGCATTGAAGCCTTCATAGGGGGTAGGCACGTGTGGGGCCCCATCAGTGCAGTATCCTTGATGGCAAGTAGCCTTCTCTGGGAAGAGTTTTCATGTTTCTGTGCATCACCCAGCAAAGCGGAGAAGCGGGAAGGCCCGCTAAGAGTCTCAATTCTCAAATCTCTGCATCTCAGGCAAGAGCAAAGCAGATCGCAGAACGCGCCCAGCGCCAGCTGAAGCGGAGCGAGGCTGGACGCCCCCCACGCAGTACGCAGCGGCGCAGCTTCAAGTAGGAGACAGGTTGACAGATGCTGATGGGTTTTGGTTTTGGGCCCGATGCTTGGAAGGGCTTGCTGCGACAATCAGCATTGGCTGCGCTCGTGGCGAGGCATCTGGGCTTTGAAATCACATCTTGTGCCGTCTCGCCTGTTGTGTTTACAAAGTCTCGTGCAAACGCGCATCTTTCTGACCCGTGGATTCTAGCGATCAGTGATCGCTTGACGGGTTCGAGCGTGACTGTCCAATCGTCCTGCGGCCCTCGAACCTTTGTCGGTGCCGATGCTAAAGCTCCAGGATGTGGGACATAACCTCCTGATTTTGATTTCTGATGTTCATGATGCTGGCTTCGAGTTCGGTCGTGACTTGTGCTTCAGGTTACAAGGCGGCTTGCTGTTTTCGACCGCAGTTCTACTTTTGCTAGCCCTTTCCTATTTATTTCTGAGCTTTGATCTTCCATTCCCATTAGCGCAAGCTGTTTGCGAATTCGGGCAGACATGCGGCACATTGCACAATCTCTGTGGAGGTACGTCCATCCTGCCGTCGTTCAAGCAGCTGAAGCTGGCTGCATGGCTTGCTACACTGAGATCCCAACTGACGATGTGGCATTGCAGGCCTTCTCCAATGCCTGGAAAGTGCTGCAAAATCAACATGCTATCTGCTGTCAGGCTCTCTACGAGGTGGTGGCATCTGAGCCACAACACACCAAGGACTGGGAAAGTCTCTGATCCATAGGGCAACCTCAACATGCTTGTCTTGTGCCACCGTTCAGAGCTCCATGCGTGACTTGAACTTGCAGGAGGTGGGTGCCATGTTGTGTGCGCACCTAGCCATTGACGGGTTTCAGGCTGGATGCCTTGGTAGAATTGAAGCTTTGATTCCGCATTGCCAGATGCCTTCTCTGTAGGTTGAACCCAAATACCATGATCCAGAGTACGGGCTCTGGCGTGGCTTCTGGGTGAGCTTCCCAGCGGTGGAGAGTTTCGGGCACGTCCAGCCTGTGCTAAATTGTGCCAATAAATATGCAACAAAGGTCGACAAGTGCAACAGGCTTCGCTTGGTCCTGCGCTGGTGACTGCGACGGTCACTGAGATGTGTTGATATCACGCGGATAGCGTGACACTCCAACAAGGGACGGAGAGACATCTTCAGAAGAAGTTTTCTCCTCCAGTTTCACACATGAGTCTAGCGACGCGATCATGTTGATAGAGTCCGGCTTGAGCTGGCAACGCAGGCCACCGGATGGGCTTGTCAAGCGAGGACATTCAGTTCTTTTGCAGGAGCTCGAAGCTCCTGCTTTGCAACCCTAGCGGAATTCAGACAAGCAGTCCGGTGTGGATCGCGTTTCTCACTAGTGTCGTGGCATTGTGCATTCGTTCACTGTGCCTTGCGGTGGCACCTGCTTGGTTCCCCGTGCCGCGGTGACCTGTCGTACGTGCCCTGACCCAGAAGTCCGTTGCTCTTGCTTTGGCTTCTTTGACATGAGAGAAGGTGATGCCGCTCATACAGAATTCCCCAGCCAAAACACAATCGTCTCGTGGTATCTCTTCAGGTGCTGCTGCCTGCGGCTCTCAACAACATGCCTCATGAAATCCGGAAGTCGTCATGATTTCGATCATTGTATCAGAAGAAAACCTACCATGCCCAAGCTACCAATAGCTCCAGTTGTGTCAGCCACAGCTTCAGCATTCACCTGCTGATTTGTCTGCTTGCCTACTGGCATCATGGGCCTGCTGAGCCATGGTCACTACTCAAGGTGAGCCTGCAACGCAGTGGACGGAGAAGCGCACATGCTGCCCATACAACTCTGTTTCGAGATTCTTGAGGCGAAGGTGCCTTGGGTCGCTTCGAGTTTGTGGCGGCCTGCGAGGCCAGGGCCTGGAGGACTTTGCTGGCTTGCCGCCTCCTCAACCTTGTTTGCTGCAGGCTCTTCTCGCAGATAGTCCTGGCTGTGCCAGTGCAGCGGACCTCCATGAGCTCTTCGATGTTCTGGATCCGCAACCTGGCTCATCAGCAATGTCGTGGTGCCTTAAAGGTAGACGCAAAGATCTTGGCAGAGAAGTTCCTTGATGGTCGTGTCGTTCCGTGTCATCGGCCTCTCAAGAGCCCTGGAACGGGCGATGTAGGACCCAGAAAGTGCTGCTTCCAAGGCAGTGCACTGGGCAGGTCAGTGTCGGGGCGGGCCCGTCGTGTCTTTTTCTACACGAAGTTGGAACTTCATCGCGTTCCGGTCCATGCCAGGAGTTTTCTCGGCTTCTTCAGGCTTACCAGCAGGCCATTTCATGTTCAGGAGGCCATGGCATGCAATGCGTGGCTTCACAGGCTCCGAAAGCCGCAGATGCCCATGCTGCCGCAGTCCGCCTTCTCGAAGGCCAGTCAGGCCCAAGTCCGCACAGCCCTCAAGGGCCCTCAGGCTTGGGCTCAGTCCTCCGAAAAGAAGCAACTGCTGATCTTCTTAGGTGCCTCGCCGTCGATGAAGGCAAAGCTTTAGCACTCAGGTACTTGAGGAACCCACACACACACACACACACACACGCACACGACAGGTGGGCAGCCCGGCACTGTGCTCAGCCCCTTAGCCGGGCTGCGAGCATGGCTGCTGCAGAGGAACTGGATCTTCCAGGATCTTGAGGTGCAATTGCCAGTCTGCCTTCCACGAGATCTGTGCGGAGTAGGCACATGCGCGCAGTAGATATCTGCAGAGATCTGTCCTCCACAGCTCCGCCATTTGGTTCGAGAGTGCGGGGCATTGATAGCTCTCCTCCTCATGATGTGGCCGATACAAGGCTAGTCAGCAGCTAGTTTTGTTGGGATAAGTCATATGTTTTGAGCTCAGCACTCCGTGAGAAATTTCGAGTACGTGCTTGCACAGGTCGCTGCGCTCCCCGAGTGCCGGCAAGTTCCGCGTGGGCCAAGAACAGGCGAAAGCAGTCATGTCGTGTTGGGAAGTATCTGTGCATAGCTGTCGTAGCTGGCGGACAGGTGTAGCGGCTGGCAGGTGCAGGAAGCCATGCGCCTACACGTCCAGCGAAGACCAAAAAGAACTCGTGGAGAACCATCGCTGAGGTGGCAGGGAGGATTGGCTGTAGAAGGCATGCTGCCGGGACGGTCACAACCGACAAGGGACTACGAGATGAGATTCGCAGGACTGCCTTTAGTTTAGACGCTTGTCTGGCGTTCACATGGCATGTGGTGGTCCTGGAGAACTGTGGAGATTGTTTGGGTCTGGGAAGGAGGCGGAAGACTGTGGAGAAGTTTCGGGAATGGAGATATGCCATTACGCTTGCTTTCGCCGCTGCAGGTTCTTGCGCATGTCTAGAGAAGCAGCAAATCTCAGCCTCTGTGAATCAGCTACTCCCGGTGCTGCAGGTGGTGTCGGGTTGGCGTTCCGCCGCTGGAGGGGACGTGCCGGCAAGACCGGCTTTATTGTGGCGACTGCTGCTGGTGTTACTGCGTGGGTAGTGGCCACGAAGCGGTGGGAGTTGCGCCTTGACTCCACAGACCACCGGTCACGAGATCCCCGCACAGGTGGGACGGCTTCGTGACATTGTGCACCAGCATAGGCATAGTCAGCAATTATTTTTTCCTTCAGCCCAGGAAAAACATATCCGCTGAAGAATTAATCAATGCAACTCGACCAGCTTCTTCATTGAGTGGATCTCTGTGGCTATGCAAGTTAGATTCCGCACTCAGCAGATTCGTAGATGATGCGTGTCAGGTGGCATTTTCCGGTCCAACAGCCGAGCTTTTCTCGCGGCTTCCTTCAGCGATAGAGGCCCTTCAGGGACGACTGGGATCCGATGAGTTGCTTGGCGTTGAAGGATGGAAAGCAGGCACACGGCTTTGCTTTTGCAGTATTCCTCACTGCTACTGGTATCTCAGGCTTTACATTGCAGAGAAGGTGGAGGGTAACTTTGCCATGCTCCGACGCCTCATCAAGCTCTCCTGCTCTGATCGACGTCCTTACAGCGAAGCCAGAGCGGTCTTGGATGAAGAGGGTGCCTCTGCCAAGCGTTTGATCGGACGAGCGAGGTGTAGTACCACTCCCCATGAGCAACAATGGGATCATCCGAGGGATCAATGTAGTATTCGGGCGAGTTGTGCCGTCGAGTCAATGCCTTGAGGCCAAGGCCTTGCATCAAGCGAAGTTCCATCGTCGGCGCTCGAAGAAGGGCTCAAGCTGCTTCCGTATGCAGAGGTTACCTACGAGGCTGGTTGTGATGCTTGTGTCTGAAGCTTGGGCGATCGCCTCCGTGGGGGAAAATCCGAGAGTCATTCCGAGCTGTTACTGGAGGAAGACGAGATTCTCAAGGAAGTCTGTGGCGAATCTGATCTGGCCGTACGTTTTTTTTTTTCCGTCAGACTTCAGTCCGTGGTTCATCAGAGTTTCTGACACGACATGCAGCGGGTTCGTCAGGTCAAGAACGTGGCCTTCAAGCGAGGTGCCCAGCGGACGAGCCTGCCTGCCGACACCTGGGAAACCCACACCGCTTCGACAGGAATGCGAAACACACTGTCCACACGCAAGCATCAGTCAGATCTTAGTGCGCGCCGCGGCAGACTTTGATGTTGAACCGCGGAGCGCATTGAAAGCACACGGTACGTCGTCGGTTGAGCTCCACAACGTTGTTGAGACTTCGAGGTCCTCGTGCTTGAAGCTATGAGCAAACCTGGAAAGCCAGCACATTTCCTGTGCTTCGACTCTGAGAAGAAAGAAGCGATCCTGTCTATTCGAGGCTCCCACCTGCAACCTTTCACTGTGCATTGGCGTCGGTCCTCCCGTTTTACTTGACAAGTGGCTTCATGGCTTCCTGTCTCTGTTTGCTGGGTGGTTAGGTGACACCATCAACCGAAGATCAGCAGATGCAGCAATAAGTGGCACTAAATGAAGATACTACCCTGCTTTGATGTAAATGTGTGATGCGCTTCCAATGATTGTATGCCTGCATGCTCAAACAGCTGGGCTCGAAGTCTCGAGAGAGTCCGAGAGTGAGAAGGAACCGATAAGGGTTGACATGGTTGACTTAGCGGAGTAGTGGCCCCTCGTCGAACGCCATCCGCGAGCCTTCGTGACATGCTTGGGAAAGCTCTTTCCTTCCACATTGCTGCCGGAGGCACATCAACGCCGGCGGATGCATTGACAGTGACTCGGACATCGCAGGGGGTCAATGTGAGCGAACGTTTGCAGCTCCGGCAGAACGAAGGACTTGGCAGGAAACATAGAAGAACGGGCCGTGGACAACGGCAAACTGCACTGCGGCTGCACCTGCGAAGTCTGGATCTCACAGAACCGTTGGCAGCAGCACTCACAAAGCATGCAGGTATGCTCATGCTGGCTTCTTGACCTCCGCCGAGTCCGTCTTGCAACGAACCGTGCCTGCCCTCAGGTGCCCAAGATAGTCGAAGTCTCAAACGTCTGATTCCGGGTTTATGCTGCAGCTACTCCTGCCAGGGATCTTCTGGCACCTCTTGGCTATGGGCTGATTGTCACAGGGCACAGTTTGGGTGCCAGCACTGCCTGCTTGGTCACCCGACTTCTGCGGGCGCAAATGGCCGAGTGGTGGCCCGGCAGCAATTGCAGGTTTTGCGCGCCACCGGACCTTCGTGGCAGGTATGACTCGGTATGATTTTCTACAGCTGCACCAATTAGTCACCAATAGTCACCAGTCACTTCGTTTCCTTGCAGATGCACTTCTCATGGCCTTGGCTCTTGCTTCTCTTTGCTTCATGTGTCTTGCTTGGACCCACAATCGCTGGGTTTATCCGACTTCCCTTAGCATGTTTCTGAGAAAGCGTTCTCAACAGGCCAAGACACCAGGCTAAATGGTCTCAGAAGCGGGCAGCACTTTTCTACATGTCTGCACTCCAAGGCCCAGACCTGATTAAATCTAAGTTCTCTCTCAGGAGTGATCCACTTGCCTCACTGCGATGTGTCGCCTTTGCTCCTTGTCCCTGCTCCTCGGCAAAAAAAAACAGCCGTCCTTTTCAGTCTCCAGAGTGCCTTTTCTGTGGAGGACTCGTGAGTCGGTGGCTTCGCGTAGTTTCGCAGCTTCGCTAAGAGCACCAAGGCATGGATGCAGTGAATGCTGGGCTCTGTGCAGATGGAGAGGATGGACATCCACTGGTCTTGAGCGACTTGCTGTAGAAGTTCTGGCATCTTATGGCGCTGACGCTGCGCGCAAAGGGAAGCTCAGGTTTCGTCTGCAATGACGATGCCGTGCCGCGTGTGCTCTGGCTAGCAAGTGCTGTTTCGAGATGTCAGTGGCTGCTCCCATGCTTCCACGTCGGTATGGCTTGGCTTGGCAGATCAGCATGCAGAACCTGGGCCGGCTGTCGTTGCTCGGCAAGGGTGCCTCGGTCGGGGTCTCAACTAGATGAAGCGGCATTCCGCAGTCTGCCAGAGCCTACGTGGACAGGTCCAGGAGGTGATGCGACTGGCATCAAGCCGAACTTGTCGGGAGACCGACCAGCAGTTGCCAGGGAAGGTGGTCGTGCTGCACCAGAAGGCCAAGCGATGTTCGGTGTGAAAGGAGCATGTCGAGTTGGATGGGCTGGTGAAAGTTCCGCTCCGTTATGTGATGCTTACATATCAGGACGACAATCCTATTGACCAGCCAGAAGTCGCAGACACCGACACGGATGCGAGCGAGGCATCTGCTTCTGGCACTGGCAAGTGGATGGCTTGGCTTGGCTTCTTGGCCTCAGAAGTCTCTGGTGGAGCGGTCGTCGCTCGTTTTCTTGCTCTGAGTGCTTCGTCTTCGACAGGAAGTGCCAGGGATTTTCCAGAGGTCGGCTACATTGAATTGGCTCCCGAGGGTCTCACGAATCACTTTGCCGCGAAGTACCGGGAATCCCTGGCTGTCGTGGCTGCCTCGCAAGGCGTGGCTCTCGAGGCGGAGCCCCGAGCAGCAGAGACCTTTCTGGACTGGCGCCAAAGAACAAAGTGTACAGTCAATCCGTAGCCTTTGACGCTCATGTTTAAAGAGTGTCGAGGGGCGATTGTCCGTCTACCGGGCCAAAGTATCGCTTGAGATCGCTTGAAGCCAGAATTCAAAATGGCGCAGACCCGCCTCTCTGTGCTGGAAAATGATGCGCCGCAATGCCGGCAGTATGGGCAGGCACTGTTGGGCGGACCGCGAGCAGAACTCGGTTGGACTGAGTTTGCGGGGCGGCTGCTCACCCGTGTGGCCCGGCAGCATTGCATCGGATCACCAATTTTACCGTGTCTATTTGGTCTGCAAGCCCGGTATTTTGCTGGCAGCTGTGCCTTGAGGTCAAGACACCCTGGCTCACTCGCGCGGCGCCAAGGTCAAGCTTTTTGTGTCCTTCCATCAAAGACTCCCCAGGTCGAGGTGCGGCGGACATCTTTGCACAGCTTCAGGCCGGCAGCCAGCAGCCCTGGGGAGTCCGTGTTCTGCTTCTCCCCAGAGGTGCGTTCCACAAAAGCTCCACTCGGTGAAGTGGAAGCCGTCGTTCGGGGCTGAGGAGCTCGATTTGCAGGGCCTTTGCAAGCGTGAGCTCCTTTCCAGGTGCGAGTGCCCGACTTGGTCCAAGCGCTGCTGGGGTCGGAAGACTTTGCAGTCGAGGCTGGGCCCGGATCGGCAGTGCGTCAATGCAAGCATCGCAACAGCTTACAAGTCAACACGTTGATCAAGAGCCGTGCTCCCGTCACTTTCTCGGATGCACGCTTCAGGCCGCTCGCAGAGTTGTGCGAATTGTTTCGCGAGAAGCCCGACACCGCGATCAGGATGTTGGATTCTGAGAGGACAGGCAGTTGTGTCCGAGTGGAATATTCGTCCGTTGCGGATGCCAAGGTGGGAAAGCTTTGTCTGGCAGCTGACGTCCTACGTGGGAGCCATATTCTTATTTGCTCGTCAGCATGGCAGCCTCGATCTCTGAACAGGTGTGGGGAGCCTCGATTTGAAGCAGCTGAGCTCAGTGCTGTCCGCTTTGTGCCCGCAGATGCTTGCAGAGGCAGGCTATGGCTCCGGGCAGAGAGCTGCGAGAGCAGCGCCCACTTCTTTTCCTGCAGAGGCGGATGTCGGACTGCTCTTCTGGCGATTCTCCGGCGATGGTGGCTTCTCCTACGACCAGCTGCAGGCCGGGAGACTGGGACTGCTGCCTGTATGCGCTGCTGCCGGAGTCTTTGCATCTAGGCCGAGCTGCGTGCAGAGCAGTCAGCTGCAGCTGAGCATCTCTTGCTGCGCGGCATGCCGGTGGCGCACCCAGATTTCGGCCGAGAAGCACAAGGCGGCACCCCCAAGCCACCGCACCGAGGCGTTGATTCGACAAGCTGCTTCTTTCGAGGCACATTTCCATCGTAAGGAGAGCATGGAACAAGTTAGTTGCCCTTGTCTGCCAAGCACTCGGGTCACGTCTTCCGAGGCTGTCGGTCGCAGCTTGAATATGTGCGAAAAGTATGTATATGTATATATGATGGTATATGTATATGTGTATGTGTATAGGTACCGGTAGAGGTAGAGGTACAGGTGGAGGTATAGCGGTAAAGTTATGAGTATAGGTGTAGGTGTAGATGATGTACATGTAGGTGTAGGTAGGTATGTGTATGCGTATGTATGTATGTATGTATGTATGTATGCATGCATGCATGCATGCATGCATGCATGCACGCATATACGCATGTACATAAAACAGCGTGAAAGCGGCTCGACCTGTAGGGCACCCATTGATCCTGAAAGCACCGGGGTTTCTGCTCGGGGTCTGCCTCGCGTATCCGGCCAAGCCATGGCGGATACTTCGAGGAGTCGATAGCCACTCTGAGGAGCTCCGAGTGGAGGAGCTCCGAGTGTGAGCGTTGGCGTGACGCTCGAGACCGAAGGCATCGCTCAGGAGCTTCGCATGCTCAGTGTTCTTGCAAGGCTTGAGGCTGGAGGGGTTCAGGAGGAGCAGCCCGCTTTCTGTGGGGCAGCAGTTTCAGACAAAGGCGCCACGAAAGTTCACACACAAATCGGTCGTTATCACTGAATCGGATCACCCTCCTTCTGGGATGCTTTGTTGTTGGCAGGTCTGGATGAGATCCGTGTTACTGTTATCATCATGGGAATCATGGGTGTACTTGCAAGCTTCGGGCTCCAACTTCTCTTAGTGCGGATCGTCTTGACCATATATCGGCTGCCCCGTGGCAACACCGTCGCAAGCGCCGTGAACCAAGACGAGCGAGTCTTCGAGAGTGTCAGTCTTTCCGTCGCACAGCGGTGTCTTTCACGGTCTTGGCACGCTTTGGGATCGCCTTGACGCTGGGAATTTCGGGAAGCCTCTGGCTTGCTCACACTCGAGATGTCACCAACATCATGCTGAATGCCGCCGCTGTTCATTCTGGAGATTGATGAGCTTCTGTGGAAAGTCGCAAAGCTGTGGCGGACACCTATGCCTGGAGGGGGGTTGGAGTGGGAGTGGTCGGCACTCACAGCCATGACCGCTGCCCAAGGCTGCTCTAAACTCTAAAGCTCGGCACTTTTGTGACAAGATCCAATTTCCACTCGTGCACATGGTTTTGCCTAGAGACCTGCGGCTGCACGCCGGTGGACAGTGGTATGTTCCTGGACACTGAGCGCCGGCAGCAGTGCTCGAACGAGCCGGCCTTCAAGGCAAGGCAACCCAAGAGATTCTCCCTTACGTTACACTTCGTGGACTGCTCCATTTTGAAGAAATCGGTCTGATGGGCTTCCTGATCTGCAAGCCGGATGCAGTTGAAGTTGTTGGCGACGATAGTTTCCCTATGAGCCTCCGGACAGGCGGCAAAACGCGGCCTGGTGCCCAAAATGTTCAGCAGCTGATAGCGATCCTGAGCCATGGAAGGCAAGTTCTCCCCTGATCATGTGCGACCACGCAAGGATGGTTGCCATTCTCCAGTCTTGAATCCTTTTTATGATCGAGCCTACAATGGGCCCGTCGTTCTTGCACGAAAAACTGTCACAGTTGAGATGCAGCCTTGCATGCGCTGATGGGTTGGGATGTTTTTTTGGCCTTGCACCTTTTGAAGGTTTTTCGCTAAAGTCAGGCGTCTGGATTTTTCAGGGATCCAAGCTGGGCAGGAGCGAAAGAATCGTTCCTGCGAGGCCGCGGCCAAGATCCAGGACAGCACGCGCTCCGGGAAGCTCTCCGCGGCCCAGCTGCTTGGCCAAGAACTGACCTTCAGTGCGGAAGCAGATGGAGAGCTGTGGGGCCCGTGGGGGGGGGGGAGACTCCGTCGGGCAGGCTGCGAGCGGCCTTGGCGCAGATGGACCTCGGCTTGAGCTCGGAAGGAGGGGCCTCTTTCCTTGTGGTTTGTGGTCCGGTCTCTCTTTTGCGTTTCGAGGCGCCGGCATGTCGGAGTTGGAGGAGTTTGCAGGGCTCCTAGCGGCTGCTACGAAGAAGAAGATTGAGCAGTTTGACTATGCCTCTTTGGTCTCTGGTGGAAGCTGGAAGGCAGAGTTGGCCTGCAGCTTTTTTGAAACGTCTCCGACTGTGCACTCGTGCAGGGTCCGACGATGGAGGATGCAGTTGCCACTGTTTGCCGCGGCAGCAAGAGCTTTTCGAAGCCTGCCAGTGCGGATAAGAGGCAGCTGTCGACCCATTCTTGAGGTCGAGATGTTGCTGCGGCCTGCTGACAGGCATATGCTGTCCATCCTCTTCTACAAGACTGCAGAAGCAGCGAAGAAGTTGGGTTTGCTTGACACCGAGTCAAGACGGCTGACTTTCAGCTGTTGAACGGGACGGCTAGAGCAGGTCAGCTCAGCGAGCTTTCGATGGCTTGGACCGTGGCAGCAAGGGCTTCCTCAACGCCGAGGCAAGCGGAAGCGGAAAGGGAGCAGTGAGCTCCCCCCGCGTGCCTGTCCCACGCCAACACAGGATTTGCGCTTGGCCGTGCTTCAGATTGTTGGAGGAGCCGCCAGCCCAGAAAGCATCTGCTGAGTTTCGAAGACAGAGGTGCATGGGCATGCTTGAACCAAGGATCAAAGTCTCACCTTGAAGGACCTTGGCATTCTTCCCTCAACAAGGCCAGTCCAGCAGCGAGTCTTGCGAGATCTTGCGAGGAAAGGGAGCTCTCGGCCGCAAGGTTGAATTTTCCGGACTTCGAGAAGCGCTTGAATTTCGATTTCGGCCTACTCTCAAAGCACATGGGCGAGGCCTGACCGCTGATCCGTGGGCCCCACGTTTTATTAGCCGATTCGAGTCCTTTTTTCATTCAGGTCTTTTCTGACCAGCCTTCGATCAGCGAGCCGGGACCTGGGGATTTGCAGATTTTGTTTTGCAGAGGGCAACAGAAGGCAAGCCGCTAAATATGCAGTTACCCGAGCTCTCTTTTCATTGTTCAAGTGGCCCGCTATAGGCAGCACAGATCAGAAGAAAGCCGGGACAGCATGGCCACAGCGGTTGCAGAGAGGATGAGCACCACTATGTTCCGCACGTTGTCAGTTGGTTCTCCAGCTCGCCTTGCCGGACGATGCACCCAGGACCAGATGAACCAGCTTGTGTTGGCTTCTACGGATGGTGCAAGTGTTCCCTTGATGATTTCACCAGGCATCGACTTGGGTCAAGGCTTCGTCGAACTTGTTGGCACGAAAGGCCCAAACAACGAGCTCCAAGTGACGTCAGTGTCCAGATTTCAGAACGACGACGTGGACTTCGATCTCTGGAACCAAGCCCTGCAGATTAGCCAGGCTCCCGCACTCCGTCATCTTTTCAAGCCGGCGGAGGCGAGTGGGCTTCTAGGAGCTCCGATGGGGGCTCCCATGGGAGCTCCCATGGGCTTTGCGTGATTCTTCTGCGAATCAGATGGGGCAGAATGGGATGCCCACTTCAACACAGGGGTCTGATTGCCGCGCTAGATGCGGATCCGGGGAAAAAAGGATGCTCTGCTCACATCTTCCAGCATGATGCATTTGGTTTGTTTGGTTAGCTACTGCAGCAGACAGACAATTTCAGGGTACTTCTCCATTTCGAAGGTCAGATTTCGTCAATCGTCTGAGCCAGATTGCTGGCCTGGACAAGGCCGGCATGCCGTGGAATCTGAAGTCAAAACCATCAACGCGCTTGTTCCGAGGAGACTCTGCAAAGCTGGCTACAGCTCCTGTGCCCCCCGACTACTCACAGACACTGTTCGCATGCGTCCGATTTGGAAGGTACCCAGGTGGTTGTCCGGTCGATGGCGTTGGGCGCGGTGCGTGTGAGACTTTCCTCGCGACAACGCCTGCGCTGGTGCCAGGAAGCACAGGCGGGAACCTTTCCAGTTCTTTCTTTCGCCGCAAACGATGCTGCTTCCACTGCCTCTGGTCCGGTTTCGCAGCGCTGTGCAGTGCAGAGCTGCACTCAGTAGTGGCGCACGGTGACAGGGAAGGGAACGAAGTAGAAGCCGTGCTCTTCCTGACATTGGACAGGGCAATCGTCACAGATTCAGCGCTCGTTAGAGGCCGTGGGCTTTAAGCAATGTTTCAGGGCTTGGCCTGGGCTGTGGCCTGAGTCAGAGCCACTGCCGAAGTTTCTTTACATCAGTGCTCTGCTCCACGTTCACGCCCTCTTGCGACGACTCCGTGAACCTTATCAATGTCATGGCACGGACTGCGACATCACGCCTGAAGCATGGCAGTTGCGGAGGGCCATGTGGTCGGCTGGGTGGGGTCGGCCTCGGTTTGGCTGCACAGCGAGGGCATTCTAAACCTCTGGGAAGAAGAGTTCGCGATTTCATGCATTTGTGCCTCTGTCTGTGTGTGTGTGTCACTCACTCACACACACACACTAACACACTAACACTAACACTATTACACACTTGCGCAATCGCCGCAAGCGAAATCTAAGCTGCAACCACATGCACAGGTGCTGTCCTCAGACTTCAAGGCTTTAACATTCGCGCAGAGTTGATGAAGGATGCCGAGGCTGGAAGCGGTGACCATCGGAGGGTAGCACAGGGGTGCACAGGTTATTGAGAGACGACACTCGGCCCATCATGTTGCTAGAAGGAAGAATGTGCCTGAGACCATGCAATATGAAGCCCTTGTTGGATTGCGAGGCCGAAGGAACAGCTGGCACAATGCCAGCATGGGTAGCCAGTTTCTCAGCCCCAGCACACTGTGGCGTGGGATCCTTGCAGGATAAGAAATTGTCAAAAAAGATGCTGTGCTAGTCTGCTAGTCAAAGTCTCGGATCCTCCAGATCCGAGCGACCGAGCTGCTAACACTCGGCTGGTGTTTCATCCGCCCGTCGGATCAAAAGCCAGTCGCACTTCGTGGTAACGGGCACAACGGTCGAAAGTTTCGCTCGAAATCGTGCAATTAAGCCGCGCAAAGCGCAACACCCCCTACGGCGCTGCTCCCTGACCCTCCAAAAGAGGAGAAGGGCGTTGTGTCGGTGTCGGTATCACAGCGAGCCTCTCCGGCGTCTTTGACAGAGCGGGGGCAGGCATGGGACGCGCGGGGTGGAGAGGGTTGTCGACCTTTCCAAGGCCTTGTCTCGTGGGCGCGACCTGCTGAAGAAGCTTGCGGCCAAGGTGGGATTCACTTTTCCAAGCGAGGGTCGTGCGTCCGGCAGAATCAGTAGATGCAGGCAGACGTGAGTTAATGCACTTTTTGGGAAGGATGCTGACCAGCTGGTCAAATCCGTCGCAGAGGTGGGAGTTTCAGCCCTGCAAGCGGTGCCATGCTACGAGATGGCGCTGGCAGCAGGCATCAGCCAAGTATCCGCCGGCCGCGCCTCAAGAGGTCGGAGCCTCACAGTCCAAGGCTGCAGGTCTTCGCTTGTCCCTTGGAGGTCATTGCCGGTGCTCGTATGAAGACAGAATCCGAAGCTCCGCTTAGCTCGGGCCCTGGGCCTCCGTTCCGGCTCGTCTGCTCAGTCAACCCTGCCGTCCAAGGAACTGAAACTTTGCTGAGTTGTGCCGAGAGTGAGAGAGCTTCAGTCTCAGCTGGCCATGTGCCAGAGCTCATCATGAGGTACAGAGGCGTCATGTGTGTGTGTGTGTGCATGGGTTAGGAGTGCTAGTTTCATCCGCAAAGCTTGGCAGCTACCTAGGTCGTGGAACATATCTTGGAGGTTACCTTCAAGTCTGTGACTGGGTTCAGCAGAGCTGCTGAAGTGTTCATCCGGTACAGCTGCTACGGCACCAATTGCGTTGCCGATGCACCAGCTTCAGCACAGATGGACTTCAGTGCAAGGCATGTTTTCGGCCTCAGCAGCAGTGACTCGCTGGCCAAGCTTTTTGAAGGACGGGATCATGCATTCACAATTCAGGCATGGATCTCTGTTGCAAAAGATGAACTCCGACGACCCCTTGCAGTCGCCGTGGTTCCAGCGGCCGAGTTGCGCTCCTTCTTGGAGTCCAGTTTGCTGGAAAGGCCACGCCCCGAAGCGGTTCTTGGATCGCAAAGGAAGTGGGCTCTCTCCTTCACTCCGGTACCTATCACGGACTCAAAGCTGAAGAAGCCACCTCTTGATGCCGTCAAGGGAGACGTAGAGCTGGTGGTGCATTATAGTCGTCGCCCAAATCCGGATCCGCAGCGAATGGCTTTACCTTGGAACTCCTCCTTTGCTGGCCGCTTGGTGGTTTGTAGGAAGGGCGTTGCAAGCGTAACCTGTGATGACCCAGAAGAGGCTCCGAGTGGGCTTGCACCACGAGAAGAGGTGCCAAAAGCACTTCCCCCACCTGGCTCGGTGATCATCAAGATCTCGATCGCAGGGCTTCAGCTCCAAGCGGACGCCTTGCGTGGCTTGGTGGCTCGTTGTTTGCAAGGCCAGCTGCTAGCTGCGCCTGGCTCTGTCGGGGGCCTTGCCAGCAAGGCGCCGAAATTCTTTATGCGCCTTTGCCTCTTTCCCGGAAAGCCGGCTATGCAAGTCGCGGGCTGCGGTGGCTGGGTGGAAAGTGGAGTGAAACCGGTTCCCGAGAACTTGTTGGCTCCAGCCAGCCTTGCCAAACCTGATGGGGCGCAAGTGAAATTCGATTTCTGCTGGAGCTCACCACCCCTGGAAGCAAGTCAAGCTGTTCAGTCACTTCAGGATGGGGTTGTGGCCCTGGAAGTTTGGATTCGACACCCAGCTGCCGACCTGCGCCTGGCCGAGAAGTCCGTGCCGCTCCAGTCACTGCTGGAAGCTGTGTCACCGGAGGACTCCAGCGAACTGCGTCTGCGGACTCTGCAGCCAGCCAGAGTGGACTTGACTGCAGCTTTCGAGCGTGACGGGAAGGCTTTGGCTCAGGTGTCGGCCGGTTCACTGGCAGAGTTGCAGCTCCCCAACGGCCCAGGGACCCTGTCATGGCTCGTCGAGAAGCCCAAGCCAAAGCCCAAAGAGCCACAGGCTCCTTTACGGGCGGAGTACTTGGTTCACCTTCGAGAGGTCCTTCTATCTGGAGATTTTGTGCAGCATTTGGCCGGCGAGTCTTTGACATCCGCCAAGGAAGAAGAGCATGGAAGAAGGTACACGCGAAGAAGCTGGGATGCCTCCCCGTCGGCTCCGGACCTGCCTCTCTTCTACCTGGAAGTAGCCGAGGGCCGCTTGGCAAAATTATGCAGGTTTTTTCATTGTCAGGATGATCCATGGTCTAGCGGTGATCCCTGGTCTTGTGGTTTTTACTTTCAATGTTCTTTCTCCTTGCCGGAAGTGCAGCCCGCTTTGCAGGTTATGTGTCTTCATGGCCAGGCTCCTCGGGCAGTCGCTTCCGCTCTGCTCCTGTCCGTGGCGCCCTTGATGGGCAAGGCTGGGTGCGTGTCAATCCTGGCGAGGATGCCTGCCTTTCTTTGCCTGGGCGGCACGTCCTCGGAGGCGGATCCGGGGAAGCGGGAAAGAGCATGGATGCCTTGGTGCTGAGTGCAGAGAAACACAAGCTCGGGCTCCGCCTACTTCAGCTCAGTTCTGGTAGCGACACAAAGGCAGCGGCACAAGCTGACGTTGTGCTTCCGCTCGGAAGAGAGGTTGAAGGAGTTCCGTCCATGTATTTTGGAGGTCTGCTTTGGATACCACTGCTTCATGTGGCCCCAGAGAATCCTTGCACTCGGGTTGTGGGACGTGCACTGCTTTGTGTCGAGGCTTGCAGGCCCAACGTGTCCAGAGACCTACGGCTCCTAAGGCAGGTGCCTCTGGCACCTACCGGTTTGTACCTTCCGCTTTACAAGGATTGGGAAGCGCCAAGGCCACCCACTTGCCCGGTTCCGGGACCTGCTTTGTGGCCGCTGGAGTCAGCGGTGCGAGCTTTGGCGGGGGATGACTTGTGGAAGAAGCTCAGCGAGGAAGCGGTGAAGCCTGGCATCATGTCTTCTGGAGCTTTTCAAAAGGCCCTGCAGGCTGCAGCGAAAAGTTCAACGTCCCCGCTTTTCCGTGCAGCTTCGGCTTCCACGAGCATGCCTGCGGCCAGTGGCTCGGGAATGGAAGACTTGCACTTCCTGGTGGCGACCCTCGCGCCCATCATGGCAGATGCAGGCTCGATGGTTCCTTTCAGGCAGCGGCCCAATGTCATGTCACGATGTTCTCTAATTCTGAAATCTGTGTGATTTGCCAAGTCCGCTAAGTCAGGGCTAGATGGCTAGACACTCTCAGGCAGCTGCTTCTTTGGATGGGTCTTCGCAAGCTCGCCCGCTTAATACTGCCCATTGCGAGAGGTGCGGGAGCTGTGTAACGGGATTCACGGCTGATGGTGGCAGCCCCTGAGGCCTGCTGCGGCAACTTCAGCAACTGGAGCTCAATGGTGACGCAGGCTCTCTCTGTGAACTTGCCGTTGGAGCCGTTTTGCGAATTGCTTACGTGCGAGGCCTTAGAGGATCTTCTGGAGCAGATGCCTCATCGATCTATTTTCTATGTGGTGATTGGTGTCCAAACCCACCACGTTTGTAGCATGCGCGGGGTGAGGCGGTGTCCTTCGCGAGCTTCCAGGCCGTGCTCCAGGCATCGTGCCACTGTGAGAACCACAGCGCGAAGCAGTCTCTGTGGCATTGGTTGCAGGCAGAGCTGCAACGGGCGGGCTTACCAGGCAAGTCCTGCTCATGCAAACATTCTCAGGATGCAGCTGTTTCGAGATATGCTCGTGTGCAGATCTCCCAGCAGCTCTGTGGCAGCTGGTCTCCCAAAGATCCGAATGGCTGGCTGGAGGTCATGCCCTTCTCTTCAACTCACCTGGTTACCTAGTTTGAAGTAGTTTTCGTGTCTTCTGGTGATGCTTGCGTCGGAGCTTCAAATCCTCAGCGGGAGTGCAGTGCAGGCCATTGGCACTTTGACTACATGGTCTTCCTTTGGGACTTGCAGGCTGCCAGCGGCAGCGAAGTGGCCTTGCAAGGCTCCGCAGAAGCGATCTCTTCAGTGCCGTGCAAATCCGAACAGCTGGGAGGTACACGTGGCCGAGACACCTCCACGGGAGCAGAAAAGACCGGGAAGGTCAGAACCTGTCTTTTAATCTCGCGATTCTTGCTGGCTTCTTTGTGCAGGCTTTCAATGGCTTTCACAACTTTCTACAGAGCACAAATTGCGCACAGAGCACCCGGTGTTACCATCAGACAATCGAAAACACCGTTAACTCAAACCTCCAGAATCATACAGATTCGCTGGTAGCGACTTGCGAGTTGTCCGCAGTTTACATTGTGAAGCACCTGCGCCGTGCATGTTTGTCATACTTACAAAGGTCTCTCGCATGTTCGAAGGTTTCGCCTGGGCTTCTCATAAGGTTCTCACGTGATCAGAAAGATTCTGGAATCCGGTTGTCGTCAAGAGGGACATGGACCCACTGGACCAACGAGCAAAGCAAACAGAACTTTGGATCACATTCGCCCTTGTTCGCCCCTTGTGCCAGAGATGTGAAAGAAGCGTGTTAGGCAGAGCCGGAGTTTGGCAGAGCTGGGGATGCACAGAATTTTGACGCAAGGCTGGCGCCGATGTGCTCTTCTGGCCGCTGCGATCTGAACTTCACCTTCAGAGGCACGAAAGGGCATGAAAGATTGAAAGATGGCTCTCTTCCTATGTGGTTTCTCTCGCTGCAGGCAAGAGCCGACTGTCTCCCCTCGCAGCCCGGTGCATAGAGATGCCATGGCACTTCCAAGGCAGGTGCTGTGATGTGCGTGTTGCTGCCGACTGTGCTGCCTTTGGTGGCTTGTGGGGCGTTCAGGCCGCGGGGAACCTCCACGAGCTTCTCGGCCGGACTGGCACCGCGCCCGCTGCCATCGCTCCGGGGCTTCGAAGCACCATCGGCAGCGCAGATGCCCCCGTCAGGCTCGGTGCCAGCTGTGCAGGCTGTGCAGGCTGTGCAGGCTGTGCCGGCCGGTCTTCCGGGTCTCTGCCTTCCTGGCGCTCCCAGAGCTCGTTCACCGAGCCCCTTCTGGGATCTATCGGCGCCCCGTCCGCTCCAAGAGCTTGGGGTCAAGAACGACATCAATGAAACAGTGCTGAGGGCTGTGTCAAGGCTTTCTGATACAGAACTGCAGCTTCGTTCTCTATCGGGCAGTGAGGAGGAGCAGCTGCAGCAACTGCGTGCAAGACACCAGCGGAATTTGGAAAGCCTTGGCATGCTACAAAAGTCCATGCTGATCCCATCGGCGACAACGACCACCATTCCAGCTGCAGCGGCTTCAGATGCTGCACGCGAGAATCGCGAGCGCATTGCTTTGGAGAGCATTGGATCTACACCTTTGCTTGGCGTTTCAGCATTGCTGGACCTCGCAAATGCGAGTGCTTCGTTTCCAGAGAAGACTGGGGCTGGGCTGGGCCTGGGTGCTGGACCCTTGCCGCCAGCTCTTGGGTCGTCTATTGGCCCTCCGAGCCCACCAGAAAGCCCGCAGCCCGAGGCACGGCCTCCGAATCTTCAGCTCGACGCCTTGAGTCAGACTGCTGGGCCATTGCCGCCGCCAAGCCCATGGATTGCGGAAGCAGAAGGCTCTGAAAGCACTCCTGACCAGCTTGACGGCAGGGTGAGTGCCGATGACATGTGAGTTCATCTGAGTCAGAACGATGTTTGGCTTTGGAAGGTTCGCAGTGTCACTTCGTCTAAGCTGGGTGTGCCTGCTTTGGCGGGCTTGTCCACTGCCAGGTGGTGTGGGCAGCGGCTGGGCATCTGGCACTGGCAGGCCTCTTGAGCACCGGGCTTTGGCACAGCAGGTCCCCTTCTTTGATGCATTGATCGGGTCAGGACAAACCAGCCGCAGCCGACTGAAGATGACTTGGCCCGCGTGTGAGGTAGGCAGCTGGGCTCCCGGGACTAGGACAAAGTCACAAGCATTTTGTCTTTCTGTCTTAGCTGTTGTGCGATGCACAGATGTACATTAGGGGTACTCCATGGCCGGGTGCTGAAATCAGGCAGCCGCCGCGTTAATGTCTCTTAGAAAAGGTGTCACGGAGAATCAGCCAGCGAGCTGCTGGCTCTCGACACCTTCAGCGTAGCTGCACGGCGCTGTGCGGCTCGACAAGCGAATTATCTCGGCAGGGTTAGCCACCAGCCAGCAAAGTCCAGATGTTAGATGCTGATAATATGCTTTCAGCAATGGTCAGCACCGGCCAATGAGACAAAACAGATCGGACAAGGTACGAAGTGCACATCCTCACAATGTTGGAAGCTTCACTCGTGGGACTCGGTGCTCATGGAGACTGTTCGCTGCTGCCTTCTGGCTCGAATGCTGTCCTTAGACGTCATGCTGCTAGGGCATGCATGGCTTGACAAGTTTAGTGTGGAACGCCTTGATGATGTCCGTGTTTGCGCCTCTCGACGGTTGTGGAGACCAGGCTCGCAGTTCGATTCTCCACAAGTGTTCTTCGTTGGATGCTGATATGCTCAGCCACGAAGTTTCCGAGCGTTCCGCGTGAAGCCTGCGTGAACGATTGTTTTCGATTACATGTGCTGCCTGTTGCTTTGGAATGTGGCACCACCAAGCCTCAGAACCGCATAATATGAGAGTGACTTCAGTAACCCGCCTTCCTTCTGGGAGCCTTTCTCCCGCAGGCATAGAGGCATAGAGGCGCTGCAGAAGGCGATGGCCAATTGCCTTGCCTTTGCGCCATGTGTTGTATGGCTTCCTGGCTTCAGGATCTCTCGTATGGATGTGGAAGCTGACATCTCTGAGGATCATTTAGGGGGCTAAGTGTTGCTCAGCCGCTGCCCGGTAGCTACCTGGCTTCAGGACATTACAGACATCGGTGATGTGTCCGCGCAGTGTGCAGCACAGTGCCTGGAGGCGCTTCCACTGCAACACCCTTTTCGAGTGTGCGTCCTGTGGCCCCGGCAGGTCGAAGCACCGAAGCCATATGACCAGGAGCAGCCGACATGGAGAGGTTTCCGAAAGGGCTGCTTGCGAGTGCCACAACTCAGGAGTTGTGGAAGCTGGGGCAGGTATTTCGTATGTATTTAATACTGTACGTAGCATTTGCAGGCGTGCTCTCGTAGGATGCGATGTGGCCTGTTGCTGCAAGACATGAGTGCTCGATGCCAGGAGCTCTACCAGCTCTTATCCCACGCAGCTGAATGTGGCGACCTGGACGGCCTGCTGACTATCACAGCAGCGACCACAGTCTTCCTCCTCGCGACAGGTTGGAGGCCCCAAGCGATGCGTTCAATCTGCCGAGGATACCCATCTTACTGAACTCAGCAGTATCAATGCGGTCTGCCTCTTACCCGTAGCACCGTATCCGTGGCATCCTGGCATGCTCATGGCTACGCACAGGGGCATGACCCTGCAGGCTTTCGCCCTGATACATGCAGCTCGGATGCTGCAGGCAGGTGTCGGCTTGCGCAAGTCTTGAGGACTTTGTCGGTGCATAGGTGGGCAGCCCAAAACGGGATGATGCACTCCATTCTCCCAAGCTGGTCAATCTGATTCGACATGCCTGCAGCTCAGTAGCAGCTGCGCTTAGAGCGATTTTTTTGCGAGCCGTCTGATGAAAAGGTGGAAAACATCGTGATGGGACACCGCTTAGAAGGCTCCACCCCTGTGCGAGTTGAGAGCTCCCTTGATGGAGTCTAAAGTCTAATTCTTGGGGCATTTACACACCGCATCATGTTTGTTGTGTGCACAAGTGAAAGGTGCGGTTGTGGCTGAAACTGGCGAGTCGGAGGTGGGGCTTGTTTTGAGCCAGGATCCTTCATGCTCTGCATTTTGGGTGCAGGACTCGTCCTCCGAGGTGATGAAGGTCGAGGCACGCTGGTCGAGCGGCAACAGAACAAAAAATCTCGCCTTGCTCAGGACCAAGGCCTTCACATGGCTTGGACCGTTTCTGTGATTTGCTGGGGTCTGGGTCTTCTCGGTCGCTGGCCCAGCGGCAGCCGGATGCGGCCCGGGTGCAAACAAGATCCGAGATCCAAGGTCATAAGAATGACAAGCTCCTGTCGTGCTTAGCCAGGCCAGTCTGCTCCGCTTGCAGCGTTGTTGCGGTTCGCTCTGATTCCTAACACTGACAGAATGGTGAAGCCACTTCTGCCACACCTCAGTCCTCATCAGCTGCAGCGCCTTGGCCAACGTACGAACGACACTGTTGAGAGATGTCATTCCTGAAACATCGAGGAATTGCTTATGGGCTTTTGCGTCGTTGGAAATGAAGGATTCCGGGCCTTTTTTTGGGTCCAGCCCTGAGCCCGTTCTGGGTAAAGCAGTGATCCACCGTGCAAGACTCTTTCGTTTTTTGGCAGGGCGGCGGTCGAAATCATCGAACCTCGCAGCTCGGATCAACCTGCCTATGGCCAAGCCTTGTCGGTGCCTGCTCGCAGCTTGTCCCTCATTCAAGGCATCGCGCTTTTCAGTCACGAGCATCTTGGCCGAATGCAGCAAGGCCAGCATAGGAGCTTGCGGAGGCGGTTGTACCTCTAGTTTGCAGCAAAGCCTAGAAAAACTCGGCAAACACTGTAGGTTTGCTGTTTTCGGGTTGGGCCTTGGATCATTCATGGCTGCTCTCAACCACAGCGCTCCAAAGGATGCAACGTCCCACTGGCCTAAATCCAGAATCCTATTTCTTAGTGGGTTAGCAAGTTTACACCCCAGGAAATGCACAGAGAACCAGCTCTGTGCCACTGTACAGTTCTTGGTTTAGACTATAAGGTGTCGGGAGCCGGAACCCTTCACCTTCTCGAAGTGGCGCTTTGGGGTCTAAATTCCCCAGCCCCTCACTCCCAAAAGAAACCTTGGAATTCTGCAGCCCTAGAGCGCTAACCCCTTACAGGCTGCAAGCCAGAGAGACGCTAATATAAACCCTACTCCTTGCCCCACCCGAAAGAAACCAAGCAACATAGAATCTACAGGTGCGCATAGATCATATATCTTATATATATATACACACACACATACACATACACATACACAGACACATACACGTACACGTACACATACACATACACATG